AGCAGGAGTTTCACAGTTATTAGCATAATTAGAAAAGATCTTTTATGGCATTCCCCTGCTCATTCCTTTCTGCCACAGACCTTCCTCTGCCATGTATTTTTTTTGCTTCATGTTCTTGCTGGTTTCTTTGTGTTGATATTTTCTTTATAGAAAACTCAGAGTCTTCATTTTGGTTTTTTTGAGTTTCTTTTGGGGTGAAAAGTCAACATAAAATTGCATTCAACATAAAATTCTTTGCTCTTCTTTGGAGCTCAACTCTGAGGTGAGAGTCTGTCTCCTGTTTTTCTGCCTGCAGGGATTCCAATGCTGAAGATAGTATTTGCGGGTTATGAGCACCTGTCCTTAATTTCCATCCCCTTACTCATCTATCATCCTGCTCAGATTCTTCTTGGCAGTCTGTTGGTACCAACAATAAAATCTTGGATGGTTTCTAGGCAAAAGGTAAGAATTGCTGGTTTTGATTTATAATCAAAAGTGTGCTGTAAGGCAAAAAATACCTAACCACATCTTAAACTCCTCAGATTCCTCCTTGGATATGCTACGGTAGGGATTTTTCTGTGTCTTAACTTCCTTTCTGACCTTGGTGGTCACAGTGTTTTCAAATTAAAAGTGCTGAACTTTATCCCCCTTGATTCTGAAAAGGTTCAAGTCTTAAAATTAGACCTCAACAGTTAGTTCAAATTATTAATTCATTCAAATCATTAATTCAGATTATGCCCAATAGGAATGTCTTTAGCTAATATAATCACAGATTTGGATCTCCCTTGTGGAGAAGTGGCAAAGATTTGTCCACTGGCATGGGAGCTAGGGAAATCAAGTAAAATGAGGGCACTTTCTGAATTGAATTGAAGCAGGATGAAAACTTTTAATTTTGTTATTTTTTTTCTTCTTGGGTCACCCTTTACAATAACAGGAGTCTGATGCATCACATTTCATGCCAAAATTATGACATGAGACAGATTGTAGAATTATAGACTATAACCTAGAGGGTTTTGCATTGACATCATTGATTAAAACTATGCTTATTTGAGTACAAATTGAAACTATTGGCATCTGACAGCCATTCTGTGATGTATATGATATGATTGCAATGGTTTTAGTCAGGTTCTCAGAACAGCAGTAACCAACTCACAGAAAGCTAGTCCATGCAACTGATTTTAATTCTGTGCTTCATGTTCTGAGATGACAGGGATCAAGAAGCTGTGGCAACTGAAGCAGTTTTTGACAGCCATTTTAGGTGAAAGTTGAGATCTGCAGAGAGAAGCCCAGCCCAACCAGTACCCTGCATCCTCCACTTGTCAGTGTTTCCAGTTTTCAGCAAAACCCAACAGGCTGCCATTTTACTAGCTTCACTCCACTAAAGTCACCTTCCTAACTTGGAACACTAACATTTGCCAAAGTAGTGATTTTTATGTGGCTCCACTTCTGGTTACATGAATTGTAAAATGGAGGAAGACTCAATTTGCAGGAACTGAGTCCAGAAATCAGCCTGTATTAAGATACACTTAGCATCTGAAAATGGAAATTCGAGAATCATGTAATTTCTCCAACAGTCTGTTTGGTTTTTTGTTTGTTTGTTGGTCAGAAATTATCAGCAGGGAATGTGTAAAGGTTGTGTAAAGAAAATTGCATGCTATTCCTGCAGAAAGATAAAGTTGACACTGCTGGTGATAGAATGGTCCTGGCAATGCTAGCTTCTCTTCAGCATCTAACTGATCTCTGCTGCCAAGACCAGGAATGGGGCTGGAGCTGCTCCCAACCTCCCTGATCCTGAGGGGCTGTGATGGCCTTTAGGGCCTGCTGTCAGTTGCTGCAAGTTAACACAGCTTTTAAGCAGGGCCCTAGAAAAGTCAACAAGTACTGTAGAGATTTACGGCTCACCAGCATTAGTTTCTTATTCATTCAGCATCAAATTAATCTCCTGTGCTAATCAGACTGTAATGCTACTGCAGAACCACCTTGGGGGATTGTTGTTCTGTTGCAGCAGTTTCTTCAGTTGGTCTTCTGTATTATTCACAAATGTTATTTTAATTACTCTTTGAAAAAAAATCAATGAGGTTGGGTCTGGTACAGTTGCAGTAAGTATAATAGAAGTGAATCTTTTGACTGGATAATGGTCTTCTGCTTTGAAAATAAACATGTCATCATCACCCTTGATGTTTATTTTCTATAAACACTTTGGCTTCATTTTGGCATCTCTCTTGCAGAGGGAGACGGTTATCCAGTCACAGTACTCAACTGTAGTGACATCCTTACTTAATTATGATAGTACATGTGATCTGGTTGTATGAAATTGAATTTAAATATTTAGAGGTTCATCTACTCTAAGGTATTTCTAGTTTGTAAATATGGCAGCAGAATCTGCCAAACTACAAAGTTAAAAAATTGTTTCCCCAAACAAATATGGAATGCTGTCTCTCTCCAAAGTCTCTTGCTGAATAATATCCAAAAGACTTATCTCAAACAGCTAGATTTAACAATAGTTAAATGCTGGTGTTTCTGAAAGCTGGTGTTTCTGAGGGGAATATAGCCTATTTATTTTTAAAGGTTTGGAGTTTTTTAAGGGTTTACATTTGTGCTGGAGTGTTTTTCAAGCAGTGCTTACAAGCTATAAATGTACAATATTAAAGGTTAATATCTACAATAAGACGACCCATGAGGCATCTCTCAGACTGAAAATTGCTTGTTTAGCCAACTCTCCAGAAATCATAGGTCTCTCACTCAGTCTGGCAAATGCCAGTCTGTCAGGGCACTTCCCTCAAAAGGCTAAGGAAAACAGAGGTTCCAAATTTCAGGACTTTGCAAGTGTCACTAATTGCCCTCTTACTCAGACCATTCAGCCCACACAAGAAATCATCGAGCTTTGTTCTTGCAGAGCACACCAACAGGCATCCTTCACAGTGTCTACAGTAGTAAAGGAAAACCAAACACCTTTTAAGCCTGTCAGATTTGCCTCCTAAGTTAGAGAGGAGGCTCCCTGCCAAGCTAGAAACATGGTCTCCTATTATTTGAATGGGACTTCTGTCACACTCTGAATAAATAGTTCAGCTACCATAGCTTGCCAGTCCTGTGGGGAACACAGATTTGGACCCTGCCATCAAATAAAGGCATGTGGCTTTTAATTCCGGCCCCTGTAAAAGCAGACTAGAGCTACAAAGACATGAGGTGTTCCCTGGCATAAGATATCTTCTGGACTGATGGACTTTGGCTTATTCTTCCATTTTCTCAGAAAGGAAGGTGTAAGGATTTTTTTCACAATCTTTCCCTAAGTAGGTCAGAAGCTGCTGTGTCTGTGCCACAATTGGTTTCCTGAGCGGAGTCCCAACAGTTGCTTTCTAAAAGACATCCAAGACCTGCATCCCTCAGTGGCATTGCAGCCATATTCCTTGTGGTTCCTCTGTTAAGGCTTTTGGTATGAGGAGCTGGGATGGGCTATCAGAGATAAAAAGATAATAATGAAACCCAGTGGTTTGGCAGCTCTGTGCTGACACCTCACTCAGCCTTGCAGAAGTACATGCATCATTTGTTGCCCCTTATAAATAAAAATCCTGTCTTGTGCTGGTGGCTGTGTTTTAAGAATATAGAAAAGTGACTGGTTTTTTTACTGTTCACAGGCACTGAAGTTAACCAGGCAGCCCAAAGCACCTGTGAAGGTATAATGATGGAGATGGCCTGCATCGCAGTGAATGTATATATGTACTATACTGTACACACAGACAATTGAGACAACTGGGTATTTGTGAATGTTACTTCAGTACATATTTTATTTTTATATATACATATATATATATATCTTTAAAAAGACACCCATTAAGTGCCTTACAGATGCATTTTTGGCAAAAGCATTGTTTCCAGAAGCCACTTGGTTGGTTGCTGCAAGAGGTTGTACAGTATTTTGGAGTCCTTTAGTTTTTATTTTTCTAACAGTGAATGGTCATGACAGTAGCTGTTTCTTCCATTAGCCCTGCTTTGAAAAGAAAGGTGCAGCAGCTGTAAGTCTCTGTTTTGAACTAGCCAAAATGACCAGAAGCCTACCCCGCTGCTGGCTTACCCTGGAGAAGAGCCTTCTAAAGGTGGTGTTTTTTTTGAGATTGACTTGAATTTCTGTGTGACTCCGTTACACTCCCTAGTCATATGACTGTGACATGCCTTTTTCTTCTGAGTTTGTGTATACTCAGCATGGGGCCATCTATTGGATAGGAGCTGAGAAGCATGAATTATTTGCATTTGTTGACACAGTTGTCTAGACATTCCTTCAAAGTTAATGGTTTCTCAAGAAAATTCTTTCAATTCCATTGTATGATATTGTGCCATTGTATATCTTAAATGCCTCATAAGATTCTTCAAAGAAATGGTCTGGTGCTTGGGTTATGAGTGAAGTATTTGTGTTTGCAGCTAGAAGATCTTTTATCATTTACCCCTGAAAAACACAAATTTTTGTTTTTCTTTTTTCTTTTCCTTCCCCCGGAGCAATGCATGGAGATCAGCAGTGACAGAATTTAGGATGATAATATTGAAACAGAGCCTTTATTGTAGTAAGCCAAGCTATGTTTTCTATATTGCTGCACTGGTAATGAATAATAGCTTGTGAGGACAAGATAGTTGACAATTATTTTTTTTGCCAATTAGAAGGATCCTTATAGTAACAGAAATGCTATAGTAGCTAATTTGACAATCAGTCACAACTCTTTTATAAAATGTTACTCTTTTTAACAAATCTATATAAAATAATACAAATTACTATTTCTCAGCAGAGTGTTAAAGAGAAAGGAACACAGTCATATATTTAAATATATAGCCAGCACTACTACTTGTCTGGGAGATTAAGATTTCAGAAGCATACTCTAGTCCAGACTCTGAGGTGTACATGTTGGCAAAAAATGTGCTGGCAATTGTGCATTAAAACACTGAAAGAAATAGGTCAAACTGGGATCGATATAAATGCAGAAGTTTCATGTATGTCATAGTTAACATCTCAGTTAATGGTGCAATGGAGTGCAGTCACCTAGGAGCAGATCCTTATCAGATGTAAATTATCGTTGCTCTGATAAGGCTATAACCATTTACACAAGCTGACAACAGGTATGTGAAATTCAAATCCTTTTGCCTTAGTGAAAAAAAAAATTGTGTTTGGTTTACCTAGTCAGTTATTCCTAGTTCATTATTCCTGTGAACTGCAGGAAAGTAATCTGGTACCAATCATTGGTGCTTTACCTGATGGTCAGCCAAGTCAGTGCAGAACTGGTCTGTTGCCATCTCTGAGAGGAATGACTGGGACCTGACGGCATCATTGTGTTCAGAATTGTCATCATCAATACAGCGACCATGTAACAAAGGTATGTGAGGTGGTAACATGCTCAACTCTTTCATTCCCTGGAGGGGGATAAAGCTCTGCAAACCAAGCCAAGTAGAAGGGCTGAGAGACACTGTTCACTGCCCGTGGTCCCTAGGGCTGTGCTCTCCTCACTGGCCAGTGATGCAAAGGGCAGTGGCCATGATCTCAACAGTTCTGGTCAGCACATCCCTGGATGGCATAGGCCAACCTGCGAGGTCATTGGAGAGAACAGCATGTGTGTTCTTGGACCAAATTGAAGGTTCCCCTTCCTTAAGCACACTAACCGGTAACTGGCTCCCTGTGGGAACAAATTCCTCTGTCTGGGCTTAAAACCCTTGCTTGCAGCAGACAGTCCAGGCCCAGGACAGTTTCTTTTTGCTCAGTGTCCATAAACCTGAATTTCCAGAGTGTATACAGGCTTAATCCCAATCCCACTGACATCAGGGACTCTTTCTGTTGGTTTTGAATAGCAAGGCAACAGGCTCAGAAAGTGGGCTAGCTTTTTATAAATACATAGGAAAAGTTCAAGCATTCAGTAACTTACTGTGATTGTATCAATGCTAAATAGTCAGAACACTGCAAGTACCCTTACTGAGCTACCTCTACGTACTGAATCTCCGACTTTCAGTACATCCAACAATCTGCTTAGATTCCACTGAACACATCCTTTTTTTCTTTGTTACATTTTTTCTTCATTTAAGAATATTTAAAACTGTTTTAAGGTGGAATTTTGTTAGAGCCTTTACAAAGTCCTTGTTGATTGTTTGGGGCAGCCTAAATATTGTGTATGAGTGTTGGAGGTGTTAGTCTAAAGGGAATATAAAGCAAAACTGAAATACATATTTTAAATCTGTACTTAATGAAATTTAATCATGCATATCAATTCTGTTATGTTTAAAAGACTGTTAAAATGTTTGCTTTATGACTTCTTAATATGCCTATCTGTCTTTAATAAACAGAGTGGTTTTTAATTTAATTTTGTTAATAGGAAAACAAGATAAAATTACTTATCCTTTAGGTCAACTTTTTACCCCTGTTACCTGTTTTGTTCTATTGTGGCTAAGCTTTTGAATTGTTGGCTTATTCTTAAAAAAAAAAAAAAAAAAAAAAGAAATTGTGAACTGCACAGAAATATTTTATTACTAAACTTGGGGGAAGAAACTCTTCAGAATATTGCAATTATAAAAAAAAAAATCACTAACTGAAAATTAATTCATTGAGCTCCACCAGTTTTTCAGTAGAGGGTTAGAATAGTTCTGAAGCTTTTTGACTTCTTGGCTTTAAATTTAAACTGAGAGAAATCTGGTATTGAAAATACTCGGGCAAAACTGATGGCAAAGGAGAACTTTGCCCACATTAAAACATAACGGTTTTCTTGATCATCAACACTTCTTATCTTTTGCATATCTGTAACCTCATCGGATGACAGTGGTACAAAAACATCCAAACAAAAAGAGAGCGCTATGGAATTCACAGGGAATCTTAGCACATTTGTGTTGCTACTTAAACATTTTATTTCTCTTTTTGTGCACCAAATTGTGAAGCTTTTGATGACCCCAGTAGTAGGTCCTAGATAAACCATTCTTTCTGTAGTTAAAATCAAAATTAGGGTTATGGGTTTTTTTCTTAGAGATCCTTTAGTTGGTATGAATAGATGATGACAGAAAAGGCAGTCTCAGCAGCTTCTGTGCAGTTGTGCTTGTTCACAGAGCAAAAGGAGAGTAATCCAGCAGCTTGGTTTGCAGTGGTCCTCTACATTATTCTGGCAGTCAGGAAAAGAGGAGCTGTTAGTTTTATTTGTGTACGGTTTTCTGTGGAAATATCTTGACAGCAGGAGGTTAGAAGGCAAGATGAAATATTGTGTGTTTGCAAGTACATTTATTTATGTGCGAGTGCATACGTGCATAAGAGATGAGCAGGTATATATGTAGAAATCACTAGAAAGGACCAAGTCCCTGATACACTTTTTTTTTTTTTTTTTTGCAAGATTGCATATGGAGAAAGAGGTACTTTTTTGATGTTATTCTGACATTAAAAATGAAATTTCAGACATTTAATTGTGTTTTGTATTGAATCATAATCCCATACAGAACCTTTGCAGCAGACAATTGCAGCACTGTATTTGTAAACTGTAGACTGTTTTGCACTTAAATAGCTGTTGATGCATTTGGGAATTACAACACAGTAAAGGGCTAAATCATAGTTTCTCCATTTTGTTATAATCCAAATGCATTTATATTACTATTATTATAAACTGCCAGAAACACATACAGTCCCTTACAAACACGTTAAATAGACAACAGACTAAATTCAGCCCTTGGTTACACTTGCACATCTCCAGTGAAAGGGCTGTTAAGCTGCAGAGCAGTCTCCCTAGGGAAGCTGTTTGAAAAGCCCTGCCATTGTTCTAACAAAGCTTGGTGATTATGTAGCACATGAGGAGATTAAATGAGTATGTTACTTTAGATTTGAGCGCTTGCTCTTTTCAGCATCTAACAAACCAAATCTCTTTCTTCCCTCTTTCCATGGGTGGCCCAGATTTCCCAGACCAAAACTGCAGCGTCAATGTATTAATGGCAGAGAAGGGAGGTTGTCCCCTCTGCCATTTTCTTGGTCAAACCACATTATCACTTGTGATCATTAGACTGTGACTTCCTTGAGGAGGCATTTGGAATTAAATTATTTGAAGTTTTGTATGTATGATTCCTGTAAAATTCGCATTCAACAGAAGACACCCTGCAGGATGGTAAGTAATCTTCTGGAGTAGCAAAGACAAGGACCATCCAAAGGCTTTAGATGTGCAGGACTAGAGAAAGCAATGCCAGGAAATGCAGGTGCAAAGCACTGCTGCAGGCAGGTCTGCTTCATGCTGGCATCTAGAGTTGTAGCAGAGGTCGCGAAAGCAGCCTCTAAATTTTTATCTTGCCAGAAAGGTGGAGAGTGAGATCTTCAGTGAGAAGTGAAATTAAATTTGTTAGTAATTAAAAGGACAAGAGAGATGTGTTGGAAGCAATTGGTGCCAGTGAGGCCTCTCGGCTGCTCCCCTAAGCAAACTGTAGTCTCGGTGGAATATCAGCTTCTCAGTCCATCAGATTGCAGTAATCAAGTCTGGAGCTGATGGGAGCATGAGTCACCACTTAATTTTCTCATCAGCAGAGGCCAAGTTTTCAAAATATTTTTAGATGCATTTCCACAGAGATTTCTGCCAGCGAGTGACCTAGAGAGTGACAAGAAAATGAGCAATAGCTGCTGTTGGATCAGGCTGTGCTCCCTGTCACCTATCCTGCTTGACTACAGGTTTGGGCAGGGAGAGCAGGTAGCCCTTGGCCCTGCTCTGCAGCAAAGAGCCCCACTGAGTTGATCTCAACACCTGGATTTGTTAAGTAATAGCATAACCTGTTAATTCTGAGGCTATCTGATAGGTTTAAATCAAGTCTGACTCGATGTTGCAAGCCCAGGCCAGAAGCAGGCAGGAGATTAGAAAAGGATTGTGATCCCTGCGCAGAGAGACTGCTGATCCCCAGCAGCTGCAGCACTCGGAGAGGGCTGGGCACCTCCCAAGGATCCTGTACTGGTGTGTATTGTCCACTCTACCTGTCTTCAAAGTTGCCACCTGGCACTACCATTTTTCACCTAGTGAAGGAGAAAAGCCTCCTGGGACGGCATCCTCTGTGGGTGAGCTCCATCTCATGTAATTTTAAGAAAATCAAAGGCTTGCAGATGTTAGCATGCTGATGTTAGTTCATCTCTATAAGAACAAATGTACTATTATGGTCAGTTTTCGTATGAAACAGTTCCAAATTGGAAGGGAAATCAGCTCTCTTAAAAGGTAAGGAAAATGGGCTGCCTCGAAGGAAAGACGATTTAATTGATAGGATTAAAAAAATTATGGAGGTCATGCAAGACCTGGCCTTTTGCCAGAAGAACTGCAGGAAATAAAATTTGAGAGTCCCAAGACAATAATTTCTATTGACAAAAGCTTTTGCAATTCTGTGCAATTCTGATCTGTTTCTTTGTGTTGTGACTGCAGTCCTTCCCCATCAGTGTCTTTTGTTTTGCTGCACAGCCCATACCCAAGATACTACAAATTCTATCTTATTTCCTGGTGCCCTCTTCTTGTTAACAGTGTTTGATGAAACAAGTGATAAAATGTCTTTTTTTCCCTTATTTGCAACCTAAATTCTCACAGACACTTTTTTTTTTTTTTTTAACTTCTCCCAGTGAGTTGTCCCTAAGTGAACCTGTTGGTGTCATCACCAAGATGATGCTTTCATCTGCTTGGAGAGCTTCCCTTAGGATGCTCCCTCCTTAGTGACTGTATCCCATAACAGCGTGACAGGATAGCTGTGACCGAGAAACCGGGGCAGCTTTCCAAGATGCTGCTTGGGGAAGTGGAAGGCAGCTTTTGTGCTGATACTGAAGAACTTTACCCATGCAAATTAAGATTCTCAACATCATTAAAACTCACAGCTCCCCTGAATGG